GGCGAACTAGTTCTATTATATTGTATCACTATACATCCTCACATTTTGTTATATCAGTAAATTACTTATCTGTTTCGTTTTTAAAAAGCATAATAATAAATATTACACATTTTAAAACCCGCCATCTCTGATTTATTCTTTTGCGAACTTGGCATGCGGCGAGCATAGATCCGTGGCATTTCCGGAGCGACGGCCTACCGTCGCAATCGAATGTTCCGATAATGCGAACGTATTTTATTCCTCATCATTAGTACATATTGGTAAGATAAGCGTCATCGAGCAGATGTCGGCTTAATTTTTTAATTGATAATTGCGTCTTTTGATTGATATAAATATGCTCGAGGAAGTAGCTTATTCCCAGTGTCATTTACGACTGCAAGCAATCACCATTCTATTGAAAAAAGTTAGTGATCATTGCTTGATATACTTCTCTTTAAAATGACGTTGATTAATGTTGCAAACGTAATAAACATGTTAGCGACTACGTTTCAAATTGCGAGTATAGCACAGATACCTGTAACGCCGTCATCAGGAAAACTCACGTCTGAACATTTCAAAACTTGGTTCAGCGAAGTGTATGTACCAAATACTGGCCGGAAAAGCATGCTACTACTCGACTCGTGGACGGGACACTGCCCGAGCCAGCTAGAGCAGTTGATTCCACAAGACAAAGAAGTAAAATTTTCAACCATTCCAAAAAAGACAACGGTCTTCATTCAGCCTTTAGATGTGTTTGAATTCCGGATTTGGAAAAATTTCGTGCGAACATTTTCGGATAATGTAATTCTCCAAGAGAAACATGTCAATTTGCACTCACGTAATGAAATAATTAAATTGCAATCACTAACTCATAATCAGCTTTCTTCGCCCAGATTCAAAAATCTTTTCCAATATGCTTGGTTTAAAAGCGGATATCTAGAAACGCATCCCGGTGAATTTCAAAATCCTGTAGATTTCTGTTACTTCAGGAAAGAAAAGCATATACCTAAATGTAGTATTTGTGGGCTGGCCGCTTTTATGCTCTGTGCATGGTGTGGCGAGTATTTCTGTTTTAAACATTTCTATGAAGAATATCATTACTGTACCAATTATATTGCGTAATGTTTAGTGTATCTGCCGTTTTGTACTAGTACAACTCTTCCAATATATAATTAAACAACAAAGCATGTACAAAAAGCGAATGCAAATGTTTTATGTATCAGGATTAATCAGAATTAATTAAATTAATTCATTTATTCATTCAAAATAGATACGAACCGTCTTGCTTTAATAAATGAAAGATGCTTGAAATTCATATAAATTATGATTTAAATATTGTAACATTATTATATCGTTACAGATTATCTTACCAATATGTACTAATGATCAGGAATAAAATACGTTCGCATTATCGGAACATTCGATAAGGTTATCGTCAATACGTGACTCTGCGTCCTTTAATGTTAAGATAGAGCTTCATGCAATATCTTATTTATCGTGTGGTTTACAAAATATTGTAATAAAATAACACTTCAAGTAATGTATGTATGTTGCTGTTGTTATGATTCATATACGTCATTGATTAGTTTTAATTAGTTTTATCTTTCAAGTAGTTGTAAGTACATACTGTCTTGCTTAAATAATTGAAAGCTGTCTGAAATTGATATAAATAATAATTTAAATATCGCTTTATGAAACTATTTTAATAATTCAAACTGCTAAAACGGATTTCAAATTCGATAATAGAGATTTTTCATTTAGTTTTTTTTTTATTAAAAAAAATAGAACACATATATATTGATTATGATGTATGAAAAGAGGTTGTGGAGAAGTATTTTTGCATAAAATTACACAGTACAAAAACTTAATTTTAAGGGTTGGTGGTAGGGGTAACTCGAAAAAAATGGATTTTTCGATAATTGTCTGTACGTAGTTTTGTAGACATAAAAATGAGATGCAACTTTTGTTTAAACTTTTTTTTTTATATCTCTCACCGTTCTGGACTTATTACGCGAAAAAAACAAATCTGCATTTTTTTCAAGGTGTGATATCACCCTTTTAAACCTAAATATGGCACGAAAAAAAAAATAGTTTTGTGTTACGGATGAACTACTCCACTTGCACAAATTTTTTCAGAATTTTCTGAATTTTCGGGTTGCCTAACCTCCCTTGTCAGTATGCCAAATGGCCCACTTCTCTGGCCTATAAGATAGGCCCGCGAGCAATCATCCATTTTCTTCGCCGACCGCGGCGAGCCGTATGTCCCGCCTGCCGTGTCGCCGCGCTCTGATATGCTCAAATATTTTAATTAATATTTCAAAATTTTACGTGGTTGTTTGAAAAATGGCCTGTATAATTTTTGTTCACTTTTATGTGTTCTACTTACATTGTTCTTTTGGTCCTTCTTACACGGGACACCCTATATATACAGGGTCTGACTCGCACCATATCAGAACTAATATATAGCTAGAATAGGTCGGCATGAGTAATGGAATCGGTGTCTTTTTTTAAACAATTATATAAAATTTTGAGATATTAGATAACGATAAAAGAATTTTACCGAGCGGCAGCCCACTGGCCAATCAGCACGTGTGCTGTAGTGAGACGAATGATGTACGCGTTGTAGCATCGTCATGACAGGCTAGCTGAGCCAGCCTCCTAGCAACGCGTTTTCCTCGGTAGAAATCTTTTATCGTTAATATCTCAAAATTTTACGGGGTTGTTTAAAAAAAGACACCGATTCTATTATTTACCCTGACCTATTCTAGCTATATGTTAGCTCTAGTACGGTATGAGTCAGACACCCTGTATATACAAGGTGTCTGACTCGTGCCATACCAGAGCTAATATATAGCTAGAATAGATTAGGATATATAATGGAATTAGTCTTTTTTTAAACAACTACGTAAAATTTGGAGTTATTAAATAAAATAGATGGGTTAATAAGAATGCGCGAGGCGGCAGGCGGGACGTACGGCTTGCCGCAGCCGACGAAGGAGATGGACGCTTGCTCACGGGCCTATCTCATAGGTCTACGTTTCAGATCTAACACTGCATGATAGATCCGCGAGCAATCGTTCCTTTTCTTCATTGGCCACGGAGAACCGTATGTTCCACCTACCGCGTCGCGCACTTTGATTGGTCCATCTATTTTATTTTATAACTCGAAAGTTTCAAACAATTTGTATAGTCTGATGATGCTATTCACTTTAACTTTGCTAAAATTATGTCAAGTTTACATTTAATTTTTTATGTCGAATAATATGGTTCCTTTAAAATAAATCGATTCTTAAATAAATCGATTTCTTTAGTTATTCTGCGTATTGAGAGTAAATAATCGAAATATGATTATTTTTCGGAATATTTTACATTTTATCCTGATATTTTTTAGTACAAAATATCTTATTAACTATTATATTAAATTATTATATTATATTAACTATTCAACAATAATACTTTAATATTTTATACGTTGAATAATGAAGAAAATCTATCAGTATTCTTAATCTTTGCTTACTAGTGTTTCAATAAATATGTAAAATCCAATCTTAGCATAGAAAACTATCAACAATTGTAAAAAAACTTTCTGACGCTAAACGCGGCCAATGTTAAGTCAATATTTGATAATATTACATTTCAATTACAAGACATTGCAATTCAGCGGACATTGGACGTTTCGACAATGCCTTTTCAACGTTGAATTTACATTTCAAAATATTGATGCAACATTGCAATGTCGCAACACAACGTTTCTGAAATGTTGATTCAACGTTTGTGTGCTATATGGAGACGTCGTAAAGATAATCTGTAAGACGCCTTAAAGATATTTATACGTAAATCGTCTGAAAGACATCTTAAAAATAATCTTTAAGACGTTCTATGTCCCGATTTTAGATATTATTTTGTCTGGAATGTTAGGGAAATTTTTGCTAGAATATCCTTACAAAAAAATACTATTAGTGGTAAAATGTCACTAATAGTTTCACTAGTAGTGCTAGTAGTATCACTATTGATGCTAATAGTGACACTATTAGTGCTAATAGTGACATTGTTAGTTACACTATTAATACTGATAGTGACACTATTAATGTTAATAGTGGCACTGTTAGTGACTCTAAGTCACTAGTAGTGACATTAATAGTACTAATTGTAACACTATTAGTGCTGATGATAGTGAGAATGAGTCTCAGATGCGCACATTAACAAACGGACACATCCAATCATATGTCCTTGTTTATAGAGTCTCTAGAATATCTCTAATCATACGGCGTTGTGGTTGGCTGTGTCCGTTTGTCAATGTGCACATCTGGGACGTTCCCGATAGTGATACTACTAGTAACAGTGATACTATTAGTGACACCAGTAATGTCAGAAGTGACATTACAAATGCCAATAGTGGTAATATGAGTATTATAAGTAACACTTGATGAGCTGATGTGTATAAATATGTATAATTTATTATTACTATAGAAAAACTATGAAAGATAATTCATTATTACAGGAATACGTTTATAAGGTACAAAAATTTATTTTCTATGACAATTACATTTCTACCCAATTAACAGACAATGTGTAACGAAGCGTTACTGAGCCCGCGCCTGAGGGCTCGACCACACCGACACGCCCGAACATCCGACGTGTCGGTGTACACGGCGCTTAGCGCCACTTTAATGGCCACGCGGCCTTACGCACATCTGCACGTGATCCGACGTCGCAGCGCCCTAGGTGGGGGCAGCGCGACGCGGATTCACGCGGGTATAAAAGCCGGGCACTCCCGGCACCAGCAAGACTCCCGTCGCTGCGGCCGTCCCAGCCACAGCGATTACGAAGGTGCGCTCGCCTTTCGACGCCGTGCTCACGCGGCATCCCGGCTTCGGCCATACGAAGGTGCGCTCGCCTCTCGACGCCGTGCTCACGCGGCACCCCGACTTCCGCCATACGAAGGTGCGCCCGCCTTTCGATGCCGTGCTCACGCGGCAGCCCGACCTCCGCTACGCGAAGGTGTGCTCGCCTTTCGACGCCGTGCTCGCGCGGCACCCCGACCCTACCGCGCGAATACGGGCTGCGAGGAATTGGGGTTGCGAGTCCGCCGTCTCCGTCGGTCGCTGCCGACTCCCCAGCTCGCCTTCGCTCTAACCGGGTCATTCCGCGACCCCGACCGCTCGTCCGAAGAGCCTCGCGTCCGCCTAGACTAAGCCCGCGTCCGCCTAGAATAAGTCCGCATCCGCCGATCCTCTGTTCGCGACCGCGTCCTCCGCGAATTGTATTCCGCGATCGCGACCGCTCGTCCGAAGAGCCGCGCGTCCGCCTAGACTAAGCCCGCGTCCGTCGTACCTCAGTGTAACGCTTAAATAAACGATTATTTTGGTATTCCGCAGAGCGACAATTATTCCCTCCTCCCGATCCTCCGATCCCGGACACCGGCGAGCCATCTAAGGCCTCCCCACGAAGGGAAACTCCTCGAGTGACGAGCCCGCGCGCACGTCGCACGCGACTCGTCACAAATGTTTTTAAACGTTTTTTAAATATTTATTTTTCAATATTACATTGTACAGTTTATTGTAAAAATAATATTTATTTAATATTTATTAAACGTTTATATAACATTTCTTAAACATTTAAAATAAAGATTTAAGAAAAATATTTATATAACATTTATTTAACGTTTATTTGATATTAAATAAAACATTTAAAAGAATATTTAAAGAAACGTTTATTTAATATTAATTAAATATTTGTATTACATTAATCAAACATTTAAAATAATGTTTGTATATATGTATATGTAATATTATAATTTAAAATAATATTTGTATATATATGTAATATTATAATTGTATTACATTAATCAAACATTTAAAATAATATTTAAATAAACATTTCTTTAGTATTGATTTAATATTTATTTTTCAAACATACTTTTTACATTTAAAAAGATCTATTCTTTTCTATTTTAATAAATCATTTGTTTTCGTATATGGATATACCATATATATATAACAAAAGTGTCTCTCGGTGAAAGTGACAGTGGCGCAGTGGATAAGGTAAACGATTCAAGAAGCAGAGGTCTCAGGTTCTCGAGTTCCAACATCATGGTAAGCAAATTTTCGAAGTACAATTTAAATTGAATTAAGTAGCGTGTGAAACAATAAAGTAGAGAATTTAAGAAAAATTCAAGAAAAGAGAAAAATATTTATATTTTTATAAATATTTTTATAATATTTATAAATGTTCACGTAACCGTTTAATAAATATTCAAAAAACGTTTATTAAATATTTTAAAAACTTTTTTCCAAAACATTTGAAAAAACGTTTTTTTAATAAAAAAGAGTGAACTTAACCCATTGTTTTTAACGTTTTAAAAGTAACTACTAGAACTATTACCACTAACAGTGTCACTAATAGTGACACTAATAGTGTCACTATAGCGAAAATATCATTAGTGCTATAGTTCTAATAATGCCACTAATAGTACTTTTTCATAAGGATAATTAAAATGTAAAACGTTTAATTTAAATCACTTAATTAATATTTATAGTTAATATTTATATGAATTTATTATGGAATATACGGCTACTATAGTAATCAAATTAATATTTTTATTAATAATTTTACTAATAGTAACTTTTTGTATGCAGGATGTCCCACGACTGGCAGAACACCCGTTAAGGGTAGATAGGAAGTGAAATTTGGAACTGAAAGTTTCTCTTCTATTTTTGGATCCAGCAATTAGTTAATGAGATATTAATTAATTAAGTCTGCCAATCCCTTAGCGCCCCGTGTGAGCGTTCAGGACCGTAGGGCACCGTGGACTCCTCAGGAGCCCTGCTTATCCGTTTCTCCCCTTTTTTGTATCACAGAGAAATTAATATGAATAAATGAGTGAATGGGTACCTGACCGAGGCTAGGGGATGGCAAGTTTTCAATGTGTGGGGGTGATATGTGCGTGTTTTTGTGTGCGGTTATGAGTGCGTGGATAATTTGAATCTTTTTAGTGCGAATGGGCGGAGTGATTGCACTTTATGTGCCGGAGGGGGATGTGTGGTATGTTTCCTTCGAGTGCGTGGGTGACTTGAATGTTTTCTGCATGTCGGTAGTTGAGTATCGTGAATGATTTTAGTATATGTATACAAAAAGTGGAGAAAAACGGATAAACAGGGCCCTTGAGGAGCCCACGGCGTTCTACGTCTGTGAGTGCTCACTCAGGATGCTAAGGGATTGACATACTTAATTAATTAATATCTCTTTAACTAATTGTCGAATCCAAAAATAGAAGAGGAACTTTCAGTTCCAAATTGCACCCCCTACCTATCCCTAACGGGTGTTCTACCAGTTGTGGGACACCCTGTGTACTGGTATAGATCACCCAAGCAGCAAGCTGTTATTTTAACGTCAATATGTTGTCATTATTGGTCAGTAATGTCATTTGTCCTTTAAGGATCCTTTAAGGATGTGTATTTAATGTCATGTTTTAAGACGACAAAATGACTTTGCAAAATGACGTTATGATAACGTTTAATTTACCATATTATAGACGAATTTCTTTTTCGAATAAAAAGATAAGTTTGCTATTCTTATAAATATATTTTTATATAATAATAACATTGCAACATTGCATATTGCAGTGCAATGTTGCAGAGACATTGCAGTAACATTAATTTGTAATATTACTTCAGCAATATTATAGCAATATTTAAAAAATATTAGGAATATAAATAAAAATATTACGAATATAAATAAAAATATTACGAATATTTAGAATATAATATATTATTTTTTATTTATTTACTAGTTATTTCTGTTACCCAATGAGCAAACAATATTTAAAAAAACAATATTTAAAAAAACATTTGAAAAGACATTTTTAAAACGTTAAAAATGATGAGATAAGTTCTATTTTTTCATTAAAATAACGTTTTTTTACGTTTGAAAGAATGTTTTATTTTTTATATTTAATAAACATGTATTTTAACATTTAAAAACGTTTTTCTAAATGTTAACATTTAACATTAAAAAAATATTTTCTAAATGTTAGAATAAACGTTTATTAACTATTAAAAATAAAAATATTTTTCCAAACGTTAAAAAACATTAAAAAAACATCTTTTTAATAAAAAAAGAAGAGAACTTATCCCATTATATTTAACGTTTTAAAAATGTGTTTTCAAATATTTTTTAAGTTGTAATGTTTTGTAATGTCAAGATTTAGGTAAACATATTTTACATAAATATTTTATGCATGTATTTCTAACTTCTCTTTTATTATATGAAATATTAGAATTATAAATAGTTTATTTTTGTGGTTCTACTAAATAATATTATAAGAAAATTATAATAAATGTTTCGGCTGCGCATAATAAAATACACTTAGTGGGGATAATAAAATACACTTAGTATCAGTTGAGGAAATAGCGCAGTAGCCAAGGTGGTAAACTAGGAACCTGAAGGTGTGTGAGGTCTCGAGTTCGCGTCAGACCAGTATTGAATAAATTTTCAAGTGCGAAAATAGTAAAAAATCAAATAAAACAGCTAAATTATATTTAAAATCAACATAAACTAGTTGCAATCGTTTCTGCAAAATATATATTCATTTTAACCAATATCATACGTCATTATTACAAATACATCATTATGATATTTTTCTTCATATCATAATAATGTTACAGTGGTATCACATATGTGACAAAGCGGACATTCGCACGTCACCATGACTTCGCTATGACCTCATTGCGACATAGTTTATTGTCAAAGTAACGTTGTGATGTTACTGTGACATTTTGTGCTATGTGGGTATAGTATTACAGTTTTAATTATTTTTATAATATTTCCGCAACGTTGTTTTAACACTTCAGTGAAATGTTGCAATTTCATGTCTCCGCAATGTCTCTGCAATATTACGTTGCAACTTGTAATGTTGCAATCTTCCTATACACAATGTTATTGTAAGCTTCTATGCTGTATGAATATATGTATATTTACGTGATATTCAGACCTCATCGTTCACATGAACAAAAAATTTGAATAGTAAATACTCATGTAACCAATATACTATGACATTTAGCATTTTTATTAGAATATTTTAAAAGAATAGAAAAATATCATTGATTAGATGCGATACGTTATTGCTGTATATGCCATGTGAATTTAGGACATTCAATTTTGCATAATAGAAAACGCGAAATTTTGATTACGCGATACATATTATGCAGGAAATATCTATAAGACTACATCTTAATAAGCCTTCAATAGGAAATAAGATGCAAGTAATATGTAAATTTACCAATCACAGTGGATTATTTGATGGTTTAATCGATGGTGATTGGTCAACTTTCTTATTGCTTACATCTTATTACTTATTGCAGAAGGGCTTTAATACTTACCTTATATAAAATCTATAGCGAATAACCGTCGATCAAATAATATGTGCTGTCGGATCAATTCCTGGGGATCAATCATGAATTTTTTTCCCTAATGTGAACTCGTGAAAAATGAACATTTCTACATGCTTTTACATTAAAAATTTTTTACTTTTTATGAGTTCACGTTAAAGGAAAAAATTCATGATCGACTAGCTGATATCATATCTGAATAAAAACTATAATTAAATATATAGATAATTTGATTTTGACACATTTAAAAATTATATAAGTAATTACTAAATTACTCTGCATATGTTGCATTTGGTAGTCATGAGTAGCATTGGTAGCATTGGTAGTTACAATAAAAACGCGATATTTTCACAGGGATCGAAGTTAATATCTACGAACAATTTTTGAATACCAAATTGGTTGCTATTCGATATATGATATACATATATTTTTAAAACAATTTTCTTTCAATTTTATACACATTCATGTAAGGCAACCTTCGCAATAAACATAAATATGAGTAAGTATCAAATAATTAAAAGCACAATGAAAAATTATTAAGATTATAATAACCTTACTACTAATACCAATAATACCAATAATGATAGTAATAATGATAATAATAATATGTAAAATAGTTTATAAGATTTTTTATATATTTTCTAGTATCACAACGAACCTTGAAAGCGTCAGTCGGCAAATCTACTTTATCAAAAACTCATATTGGTAGTGTATCCTCATTATACAGGCGTAGTGTGTTATTCCGTACAGGCAAGGGTGGCTTCAAGGTACTCCAAAATTGAAATTAAACAAAGCTCGTTAAATAAAAATAATTTATACACAACAATTGATAAAAATCTGCAACCACAATAGCTACCTGAGAAAAGATATTTATATATAATTATATAAATTATATACAAATTATATATAAATTATAAATAATTATTATAATAAATTATATAATTATATATAAATTATATACAAAATTTGTGTCTCTGTATAGTCACACATAATTATATATTTCCACACAGAAAAAATCATGTTAAATGAAAAAGGACAGGGATAGTTTCATTTAATTAAGTGGTATCATGTGCTGTCAGAAGCATAAGTATTTACTTCGATTTGTATAACAGTATCTTTTTCGTTGTGGACATATAAAATTATGCATGATTATAAATGGCCATATAGGGATAAAATTCATATATGACTTTTTCCCCGAATACACATCAATTATAAATTACAAAATAATCCAAAAATTCTGAAAAAAAGATATAATGTGCTTGTAGTTTAAATGCAAAATATGAACATATCATCTTTTTTAGATCCCAAGATATCAAAACACTTACCAACTGGAACCTATTAGGAAATTTAACGGCGAACTCGTCGACAAAATCTTGATTAATGTGATGAAGAATTATTTAATTGGCGTAAAGTATCATCCTGAAATATGCATGCAAATCTGTCAGAAAATGTCAGCAGAAGTGCGCGACCAAATTTACAGGAAATCTTACGATCGGTGATATATTCATTAATACAACAGATGCAATAACGTCTGACTATAATAAGCGCGCGCATATACACACACATACACACAAAGTATTTTAAGATATTTAATTTACATTTTGTAAATTTAACTAATAGATAAATTAACTTAAATAATTCGAATATTTGAATAAAAATGAAATTATACAGTTCTACACAAATGCACAACCTAGTAAATATAAAGTAATAGTGACATTACAGCAATGTTATAATTCCCCATTTAACAATATAACTGTTATATATAACATGTGTTATATTGTACTTATATTATTGGAAATTATAACATTGATATATTGTTACTTAATGTTTACTGGAAATATTTATATTTCAACTACAGTGAGCACACATCTCTGAATCATTTATCAATATATTTAATCTTTGCAAATGCGTACAAAATTTTTTGCTACACCATTTCGAATATCAAGAATCCATCTCTTGCTCGAACGATCGTTGGACTTTATTTTAATGTTGTTTTCAGATACAAAGTCATAGTCGTCATGTCGATCGTTCAAAAATTAGGACAAGGCGTGCGAATTGATTTTAGCAAGTTATGGGATATTGAAAGGGATACGTATTCGACTTACGTGATCGAGACCCCGGAATTTTCTGCGATGGGCCTCGTCGTGGGACTTTATTACGAGTGAATGTACTATAAAAAGATTTACGAATGACTATTAATTTTTCCATAACGAAGAATAAATCTCGGTGTATCGGCTCTGGATTAAAAAAGACAAAGAGAGAGATTTAAACGAAATAAAACGGTACCATTTAAATGCCGGTAATATTATAGTTAAAGAAAGGATCCACATACAAACTAGATTCACGTGTTTCACGTTTTCTTTATTGTTATTAAATTAATATATCATTCGAGATATATATATGTGTATATATATATTTATATATTTATATATTTATATGTGTATGTATATAACAGCGACAAATACAATGCGTCATTATGATTATTAATTATAATTGCAATCGAAGAGGTTACCGATGACAATGATGGAAACCGAGGACGAGGTAATTATCGTAATAATATCAATAACAGCAATCATAATAATGATGATAATAATGATGTGATGATAATGATAATTATGATGATGATGTTGATGATAATAATGATAACAATAAATAATAATAATAATAAGTCAATCGACCGATAATCAATACAGTCGTATATTCCCTTAAAGTCCGTCCTTATTTCTCATATCGCGCGCTTTTATAGATACAGGGATACAGAAAAATAATACCGCGCGGCTGTGGTGGAATGTTCTTAAGTCGTACATGTATATATATAATATTTATATAAAAGGGGAGGGGGGCACTCAGGGCCTTAATTAAATCATTACACGAGCCAACGTCGCCGCACCGGCGCTCATTTTACTTCCATCGTAAGAAATAAGCGAATTAAGAGAAGACTCGCAAGATTTATTACGCGACATCGAATCTCTCTCTAATCTTCACAATTATAATTAGGAAATAATGCGAAATTCTATGAATTTGTGTGTCTCCGTTCGAGATATATATTTCTTGAGGCTTCTTTGGATTTGACAAATTTTGAAACTAAATTTATAGAAGATCGTGACAGAATAATGAAATATTTCGCCTGAAACGCTTAAAGATAAGTTTGTCTTACATGGAATTCGATCCAATTATTGATTTCGGAGATTCAGTTTCGCAGAATCCCCGTGAATCTCTATGAATTCGCTTATCTCTTTCGTAGGTCCTCTTTATAATAATTAGGATTAATTGTAGCTTTACTTACGATCCTACCTGCCGATCAATTTTACACGCACGAACTGCACTATGTAGATCCTTGGTCCATTTTCGACGCATACATTTATTTACAAGGGTCACGCGCGCGCGCGCGCGACGCAGTGGCTCGCCGTATTGCAAAAAATGGCAAGCCAATCGCGCGATCGGAAATTTTTGAAGTAACGAGGCGTCCCAGTACAGAATAAGACAATTACAATATAAATTTGAAAAATCAAAAACACGATATATATATATATATATATATATATATTACGCAATATAAAATATAAAATATATACAACGGAATATTACAAAAATATAAAATATAAAACACGAAATTTTTTGTGAAAAGTTTATATAGTTCAGAATGATAATGAGCAAGAAATAATTATGCTATTGATAGACTACTGCTATAACAATATAGACTGTTACTATAACGTGTTTTCTAATATATAATTTTAATGTTTAACATTAAAACTACATATTAAATTAAATGTTGTATCACTATCACGTTATAAATAACTTCGATACTTCAATTTTTCTAATACATTTTTTATACATTTGAAAGAACCACATTATCCGGAAATGTTGTGTCCTTGAAATGTTTTAAAAATATTAAATATAAAAACGTTTAGCAGAAGGATATACAGGTTATCCCAGACTTTCCTCCGCAATTTTTGTAAGAACGTAGAGCGGATTGAGATAAACATAAAAGTCCCACATCGTTTTACGATATTCATAATAAATGTCGAAATGTTAATTAAAAAAGATTGATGCGACATAATAGATGAGCTGTAATGGCACCGTCTGCCATTGTGTACTTATACATTAAGTCAAACTAAAAAAATTCTCTACCCTTTTGCAAATCATTATCATTATCATCACATGGATTTTTAGTTATTAATTAAAGAAGATTTGTGTATTATCATGCATAATCATGTAACAATTTTCTTTCATTAATAACTAAAATTCTATGATTATTTGCAAAATGATAAAAAGCTCTTTTGTTCAATTTGATTTAATGTACAATAGCACACATCGCCACTACAGCTCATCTACCATATCTTGCGTGATCATTCACCAATCTTCTTTAATTACCCAAGGAACGCCAATGCGCGTACAATGCGCTTTAAATGTGCATTTTAATTAATATTAAAAGCGCATATTTGTCCCGCATTAAATTCGCATTTAATGCACATTATGACAACGCATTCAAAAAAATATTTTTCGCGTACCTTGTTTGCTGGTATCTTGCGAATTTATATCTCTGCAATGTTTCTGCAACATTGTATTGCAATATACAACATTGAAACGTTGCAGTAATGTTGTTGCAAGCGTCTGTGCTGTATGTGTTGTTCTTCCAACATTATTTTTTATTAAATCAGTGATAAATGTTGTTGAATCAACTACAGATATATGGCATTCTGTGACATGAATATTTCATTGACGTTAGGAATCTCATCTGGAAAACTCATCTGGAATCCAATCCTAGGAAACCCACCTAGGAAATCCATCTAGGAAACCTAAGCGAAATACCCAGTAGGAATCCTAATTGTGTTTTCAACTGGAATTTTTCAATAAGAAGCACCCATTCTTATGCTTCAGTGTGCATAAATTTCTTAAACTAGTACAGCCATTTTATTAAAAAAAAAAGACTTTAACTTTTTGTATCAGTATACATCAGTTTAGGAAGTTTAGGAATAGTTTTACGAAAAAGAACAGATCTTTTGTAAGTAAGAAATAATTTGTGGTTTGACGATGTATCATGTAAAAAATTAATCATTCATTTTATGAAACTTGTTATTACGAAATACGTAAATATCGCATTAATTTGAGTGCATTTTAAACATACAATTAATGCGGTTTTGAAGTCAATGTAGTTGCATGCGCATTAAAAGCGCGTTATACACGCATTGGCACTCCTTGGGTAATATCTCGATTATTATTGCGAATATCACAAAATATAGGATTTTTACGTTCACTTCAATCCGTTTTACGTTCCCACAAAGATTGTGAAAGAAAATCTGAGACATTCTGTATATAAAATTATTTCAAAATATTAATCTTTTTTCTAACTGCATATTTAATTGAACGAAGTATCTCACAAAATAATGCAGACTTCAATTTGCGAACATGAGATTTTCAATTAAATAAAAGTTAGAAATTTGTTACAGGAAACTCGTGATTTTAATAATATTAAAGGAGGCAGATTTTATTTTAGGGATTCTAAAAAAGCACTGAAACTACTAAATTGTTGTTGATTATAAAATACTATTCAAAACGCCAAACAAATGCTACTATTCTTAAGTAGACTTTTATTATACAATCCACGGCCCACACACAGAGATAGTGCGTAATTTTGAGACACCTCATGTAATGAACCTCACCTCGAAAATTACTTTTATGCAATCATATACAACCTACAACTAGTTAATGATACAAAATTTGCTTGATCGCGCGATTAGCTCGTGATTTTTGACTTCTACAACATCATAACCAGAATGAAATCGTCCCCTCCTCCCGTATTCATCCACGAGGGGGGACGAGACATTCCACCTCGCCGTAATCGGTATGGAAAAAATATCGAAGGTTCTCAATTTATTTATCTCCATCTTGTGTATGTGTGTTATGTATATACGTGTATTCATATGTGTATATACTGTTTGAATGTGCTGTATATATGTGTATATGAGTGTTTTTCTCCTTTACTCTCTCTGTGTGTGTGGTATGTCGAATGCTATTATCTGTATATGACACATTTACAATAATAACAATACGCTGCTCGTCGTCGACGAACCATCTTAACCCGCGCGCGTATATGTATATGTTTATATTTATATATTTATATGTATAATCCGAAAAAAAATTTAGTGGGACATTGAGTCACCACTAACACACACAGGCTCTTTCTCTCTCTCTCACACACACTCTCATTTTCTCCTTTCTATTTCTCTCTCTCTCTCTCTCTCTCTCTCTCTCTCCTCATGCAATCGTCAAGTCGTATATCACAAAGTTTCCGAATGCGCCGTTTCGATTTAATGCGAGCAATAACAATGACGATAATCGACATGCATGTATGTATGTATGTATGCGACAATGCTTGCAATTTGCGTTCTGAAGGATAAAGTTCTATGTTTGTATGTTGCGCGCACATATGTTTGGTGTATCTATGCGACAATGTCACAAATGTAAATCGGAAATTTTGCCGCAGATGTTAGCCGAGCTGTTTCGAAAGAATTGAAAGAGGAGTTAGTCGGTGGAAGAAAATATTTGAGAACATTAGCGACAAATAATATAAATCGACGGAAAAAAGCATCATAAATAATAATTTTATGAAAATTTTAAATTTCTACCGTCAATTATTTTAAGTAATTGCAAATTTAACTATTCTACTTTCAAGCACTTTTCTGTCCAAATTTAATTTTCTGGAAACGTTCCGTTACCTTCCTCCCCCTCCCCTTCTCGTGTCATTTAAATTAATTTCCGATATAAGAAACTGTATAAATAAATAATATGTCTTCTATGATCATGGACGAGCATAAATCCACGGATTCGCAAAATCTATAGTTCGCATCAATACAACGCAGATGCAATGAAAAAATTAACGATTATCGCGATATCCGTATATATATGTGCGTGTACATGCGTATGCAATGGATTGAATAAAATAGGAATTGAAACTGGCATAATCTTACAGCGAGCTCGATTTTCCATTTTACGGATATACAAAGGAATGTTAAGTATGTTTTGTTGTCGTCGCAAGCGTAATAAGCGCTTGCGGACGCATCAGTATCTGAGAGGAGAACCCGCCGAAAAAATACAAGAGTTTCAACTCCCAGAGTAAAATCGTCGAATCGCCTCATATGTTTCGTACATCTCCTTCGTCGCTTTCGCCTCTTCTCTCTTATTCCCTCGCATTCCTTCGCACTTTCTCGCAGGTATATATATTTACAGATTTCAAGATTGATTAAGAATTCTGATATTCGCATCATCCTTGCTCTCCCACCCTTTCTCTCACTCTCTCTCACGCCGTTATAAAAAATTGATTCGTTTCGCCTTAAATCGTTAACACTTTCCTCCCGCCTCCTCTGCCTCGGACCTCCCCCTCCCTCCTATCCTCGATAAGAATTCAACTGTCTGGATACCGGTCGAATACTTCAACACTTGCCATTGTGCCACGCCATTGTTGAGTATCGTTATTACGTGCTGCATTTTGCATCACGCTTTTATCACCGTTATTAATATGCAGTATCGAGAAATAAAGTTATTAAATGAAATTTGTACTGTTACTTAGTGTAATGCAAATTGGTATTCTAGATATACTACAAATTGCAATATCATGTGTGTTACATTAGAACTGAATTAATAAATCAATATCTTATAAAAAATTCATGAACTAGTTTACATAACTATCAAACTATAATCCTATTAATGACAATAATCGAATCGAATTGAAAGATCGTGATGGGAAATTAGTGAGTTTTATGTTACGCCTCAAAATATCGACGAAATATGATGCATATTTTGCATACATCATTTTTTTATCTTCTTCTCAATAATTATACTTAAACATAAGATTATATATGCATCAGAAAAGATATACGCGCGTTTTTTCGCGTATATGTTACACGTCTCGGAAAACTTATGCTCTTCTTCATCCTCTTTTCTCACAGTCATCGATCGAGTTATCGACTGGTGTCCAGACAGTGGTCATTCCCGGATCGTCCTTACAGAAAGGCTCGCGACCAACGTCATCGCGGCCGTTGGCGGTGCTACGAAAAATATCTCCAAGATCAAGCCATCACAGACAATAGTTCCGGATGTCGGAGGTGCGGGGTACTATATCGTGCAGAGACGAAAGACGTGCGCACTTTCAAGGTTCTTCCTAAAGTTAGCTTACTAAGGTCGTTCTTACAACGGTATGTAACAAGACTCGATGCTATTTACATCTGCCCCTCCTCATGTTTTCTTTCTCCTTCTCCTCTTTCTCTTCATCTTCATTCTCGTATTCATTCTTATCCCCCTCCTCTTCCACTTTTCTATTAACACCTCGAGGAGATGGATGCTGCAGCCACGCCAAGTTCCATCAAGAATTCTCCGCGAGAATTCACGGATCCCGTGGAGATGACCCGTGGAGCACCCACTCGTCGTCGTCACGGGGCACCGAAGACCTGTATATTTACACTCCATCGGCGATTCAAAGTCCTGAGCCCCCTCAGGGCCCGCCGAGTCCCGACCATCTCTCACGTCGGGAATCATCCACTACGCTGGGACTTAATAATGTTAAGGCATCGTCGTGCGTCGACGAACACGAGTTCCTCTCTGGCGTTCGTTGGCAGTAGCGAAAATGTCGGTCGAGATCCACGACCTTCACCCGCTCGATCCAGGCACTATCAAACCCCCATGCCCCTCGTTCGCATCCTAGTATCACTCATTCGGACAGTACGAACGATATGAGAACGTTGATTCCGATTTTCGGAGCTCGACAGGCTCCGCGACTTCGGAGAGATCGAACTTCGGGCTGGTGAAATTTCAGAAGCTTCGGTGATCCGAATCCGATTTCATCGCTCGGTGGCTCGGTCATCGAATAGAGGAATCATTCTAGAAGCTCGTATTCTGCGATCTTGTAACCTGGCTAATGCATATCTTGGACGATTTTGGAAGCTTGATAATTCAGATCATGAAGTATTAATTATAAAGATTAAAGAAACATTTCTTGTCATTCTTCATCTTTGATTTCTTCTTCAATTTTATTGAAGAGACAAGAAATTATGTCTCCGATTCATTTCCTAGCTTCTTCCAAAATTCAAAATATTTTTCTTACAAATTTTTCCTTCTTCTGATATTTCCAGTAAATAGGATAAAAGGAAATACTGCTCCCAACTTCTTTAAAAACCCCGAGAAGTCTGGATTTTTTCCTCAACTTCTTCAAAGATCTATTCTTCTTCTATTTCTTTTTCTTAGCTTCCTCAAAGATCCAAGACATTTTCTTTTGGATATCTAATAATTTCCAGAAAAAACTTTCTGTAATTTTGCTTAATTTACGATATCAGATTTCAGTGAATTAAAAGATTTCGAGTTTTGGTTAGCCTTCAAATAAAGAGATCACTTTATCGGCTTCAAATTTTGCGGCTTCGGGAGTCGACGGGAAGCATCGCCAGGACGAGCACAGCGAACGCTAATGACGGATCGTGGTGGTATGCGCGATGATAAGGAGCGTGAGGTCGGGGGCCGAACGGAACAACTTCGCGCTCGACTGTGAACCGCGGCCCCGTGTGTCATACCGGCTCCTCCCGCTTGAAATTGATGTTCTGGGAAGCGCAAAAGTCGCGCGTGAATGGCACACAGTTGAATAGCTTGCACACCTCACACTCGTACACCGGCACGTTGTAAAAAAGGGCAAGCAACAACGCGAACAGGCCCACAATTAGAATTAAGCAAACCCAAATCAGCAGGATTTTCCGTCTACGGTCGTAATGGCCGAACGAGATAAACGGCATCAGCGCGTAGGCCGCCAAAAAACCGAAGATAAAGCCGAACAGATGCGCGTAGTTGTCCACCCATGGTAGAATGCCTAGTACGAGCAACCCCAGCAGAATCAGAATTAACTTGGACAGTGCGCGTCGTGGGTGTTTCAACATCGGCCAACAATGCAGTACTTCGACCACTAGTGTAGCCAAGAGCGCGAAATGTGCACCGGCTGGACCAACCTGTAAATACAAGTAACATAATGAGTATTGTTGATAAACGCGTTCAAAAGATTCTCTACTTTAAAATTGAAATCCAAGGAATTTTTTGTTATTTCAAAGAAAAAAATAGTAAAAAAAATTCTTTATATTTATCGCCAATTGTTTCATATCTTTGATTTTCACAAAAATCGTAAAAAGAAATCTTTTTAACAAATAAACCGATGTGTATTCTTTGAGTAAATTATTATCAATAATGTTATGAAATTGAAGAATTTACCTCTGCCCTATAAGGGACGAAGATTGCGCTGCCTAAATTCCCAGCGAGAGCACCGATAAAATAGATGAAGGCAATGCGCAAAGATCCCGTCAACTTCTCTAAATCCCTCATTAGAAAGTACTGGATCAGCAACGTAATTGCCAAATGGACGATTCTGTAAGATCGATTTAGTGGGATCAACAAATTTCGCTTGTTTCCTCGGTTAACTCACCGAAATGAATAAATTGGCAGCTTTATCTTATTGAATTTTTATGAAGGTATAGATGAGGTATAGATTGAAAGAGAGATTTATGCTTTCATCAAAATAAATTCTTAATTTTTTGTGGGAATTAACATATCGAAATAATTAATCGAAAAGAAGAGTCAATTAGATATTTTTCAGTACGATCATATTAAGGGAATGCTGGAGCTATATTCTACATGTTTGCCGACAATTATAGGTTCGGTATGTGCTGTTGCACAGCTATTTTATGATATAAATCTGTTCTTTTTAACTGAACTGTCTGAACTCGTGCAATAAATTAAAGTAAAATAAAATAAAATATAGGCGAGTTTTTTAATTCATCGATGGATCCATCGCATGATGCGTAAATAGAATGAAACATTGCATTTGCGCATCATGCAATGGATCCATCAATAAATTAAAAAACTCGACCTACATGTGTCTCACACTCTAACTTATTGCACTAGTGTGCATCAGTTTAGACAGTTTAGCTAAAAAACATAAATCTTATATCTACGACAAAAATCGAACAGACAGTTGTCGGTGAACGTGTAACACAGAATACAACTTTCGAAGTCGATGACGTACTTTCATTGCGTAAAAGAATTTGCAATTTTGTACAACCAATATGACGTAAACTATGCAGAAAAAATTCAATTTGTCAAAAAGTATAGAATAAAGACACTAAAAGCGACATACTACTTTGTTCTTAGAGGTTATATCTTAATGTAAAACTCAAAATATAAATGTAGAGGAAAGTAGCCAAAAGCGACATAGGCCTCCTAAAACGATCTCTATATCTCATATATGAAATGTTGTATTTTATCGAAACTATTATAATAATTCGTTTTACCAGTAAAGTTTTACCAGTGAGAATTTTAGAAATTCTAAGTTTTATTTCTATGATTTATATGATTATTGGCGAATTACGTAGACTAAACATCGATAATTATCTTTTTGTTCAACATTAAGTTCTTCTAGATGCATTTAGCTTTTGTATAAATATTTTATTTTTTATCACTTTTTTTACTATGTAACTTGAAAAATTTTATGAGAATGTGTTTTAAAGTGACATACTTATAGTATGCGATAGCTACGATAGCTGTGACTAACATAACCTGATTCTAACCTCACATTATGAAGTGACATGTGTTGTATATGAACTTACTCTGCTGCAATAATATAAATGTAAATCATTTTCAATAATTATATACATCAGTGAACACTAACTAACATAAATATTGCTTTTAAATAAAATAAATATTATTCAACCATTAAACGCATTAACGAACTATTTATTATCAAATATTATCATATATGCAACATGTTATATAACTTCCAATAGGTATGTCGCTTTTGGCACCCATTTTCTTTGAACTCTATTTTCGTGCGTTTTACAAAAACATTTTTTTGTTTTAAGTCTAGAAACAATTTCAGTAAAATGTGATATTATCTGATAGAGGGTACTTCCAACTACATGTATATATATTTACATTTATATTTTGAGCTTTACATTAAGACATAACCTTCAAAAACAAAGTGGTATGTCGCTTTTGGTGCCTTTACTCTAAATATATATACATGTAGTTGGAAGTACCCTCTATCAGATGATATCATATTTTTATAAAATTGAAATTGTTTCTGAAATTGTTTCTAGATTTAAAACAAAAAATATTTTTGTAAAACACACGAAAATTGAGTAAAACACAAGAAAATGAGTGTCAAAAGCGACATACATATTGGAAGTTATATAACATGTTGCATATATGATAATATTTGATAATAAATAGTTATTAATGCGTTTAATAATTGAATAATATTCATTTATTTAAAATATAATATTACAAAAGGAAAATATAATTAAATAAAAATATATCTTTGGCATTTCCATCTTTTTCACTTCTCACATATTTTACATATGTATATTTTACATTCTCACAGATGTTATATTTTTAAACTAAACAAAATGAAACTTTAAAATAAACAAATGTCACGTCACAATGGAAGATTAGAATCAGATTATGTTAGCCACAAAGTATCGCACCTATCACTTACTGTCGGTACCCAGATAGCCAAACCAGCGCGAACAGATTTCGAGCAGAGTGTGCTATCAACTTTTGATGGCAAATAGATAACAAATTTGATGCAGGATCTGTTATATCAAATCTTGTTACCAAATTGCCGTCAAATATACGGTAGAGCTTATTGTTGAATAATTGCTGCAAATTTGACACAAATTGTCCGATAGCAAGATCTGTCGCCAAAACCGTAGCTTAATGTAGACACAAATGACTATGGTTTTGCTGTGGATTTTTGATCAAATTTGCTGCCAATCTGCGCGCAGTCTGCGCTCAATTTGCTTACTGGGTATGTCACTTTAAGACACATTCTTATAAAATTTTTCAAGTTATATAGTAAAAAAATGATGAAGATAAGAATATTCAAAAAATATTTTTACAAAAGCCAAATGCATGTAGAAGAACAAAAAAATAATTATCGCTGTTTAGTCTACGTAATTCGTCAATGAAAATTATAGAAATAAAATTTGCGGATTTCTAAAACTCGATATTTACTAATTTAACATATAAAAGAATAAGAAATATACCAAATATGAATTTTTTATGACTTAACTGATAAAACGAATTACGTTTATATTAGTTTCGATAAAATATAACATTTAATATATGAAATATAGAGGTATATCATTTTAGGCTACTTTCCTCTAATTATTTGAGTGAAATGAAATTATGTTGTAATTGAAATTATGTATTGAGTGATATGAAATTACATCATTTCTTTGTAGTCAAAAGGTGTTCTCCTTAAGGCAATGATGAAGCTGAAAACTTTACCAATAGAATACTAACATTTTTCTGCAAAGTTTACGTTGTATTGGTTATACAGAATTGCAGATATTTTTATGCAAGTACGTGCAAAAATAAACAGAAGCATTAGTCAATATGTGACGAAAACGAAAAAATAATTTTAAATGTAAAATCTCAAGCTGTCAGCGTAATATTTGTCTAATCCAAAAGTTCAGCAGCTTGTACATATTGAAAGTATAGATGTTCCAAATAGAAAAATTTTGAAGAACGTTGCTGTACTTTCGCATCTAAATTCAGAAGCTTAAAAATATCCGAAAAGTTTGCAGAAATATTTCTACAAATGTGTGATTAGGTTTTCCGCTGAATATAGTAAAACAAAGCAACACATTTATGTAAGTTCTGTATAGTATACATACAAGAAATACGAAAAGGATAGCCTGATTGTGTTAGCGACGATCACTCCTACGTTATCGAAGTTTGTCATCCTTCAGCATTCCCTTAATGAACAAAAAATGACCTAAAATTTCTCGTTAACTCAATAATACTTAGATGTTTCGATCTTTATTCAGACTCTATTAAATGAAATAACAAAAGCAGTATATACTCGTAGAACGGTTTAAATACTTTCTTTTACATATTTCGGAACACATTGAATATCTAATTAAAGGATCTGATTTATGAAAATTATTCAAAACCAAATTTACCTGTTGGACGTCGCTTACATGCATAAAAGAATGCATAAAATACATTAAAAAAGTACAAATCGTTCTGCAAATAAGAGTACAAATAAAAAAAAATAGAAAAGAGAAAAGCTTCAATCCACGGCAAAAAAGTCTAATTAATTTTAATCTGATATATTAGGATCATTTTCGATCCAGTCGATTTTTTACTTTCAATTTTCTGTAAATTAGTGGAATGAAAACTTTTGTTTCCCGCACTAAAAAAAAAATTATAATCGTGGGAAATATTAAATCTAAACACAGTTAAGCTATTTCAATAGTCGGTCAAATAAAAAAGATTAAATTGTTTTGAAGTCGTTTCTGTCCCCAATGTGCAACATTAAGATGTCAAAATGTAAAGTAAAGATGTAAAGTAAAAATGATTTTTCATTATATTTCGGTTCTTTACATAAATGTAATATATAAAAAAAGTTTCATATAAGTAACTTATTAATTTTTATTTATATATTAAACATTAAGATTTCTATACCGTTAAATTCTAATCACCAACAGAAAAAGATTTAGGTACAGAGCTAATCTTTATAATAATTTTAAAAATAAATAAATAATAAAAGCTGCGTTATAATAGATTAATTTACCGCAAAAACTTGGAATTATTAATTGTTTTATTCGCCTCTTGGCTAAAAAAGAAATGATATAAAAAAAATTTTGTATACCTAAATAATTATGTTTTTTTGACAAATTGAAATGTATAATATTTTTCTTTTTTTAAGACTTAAAGACTTAAGTATCGGCAAAAAACTCATAAAGCATAAATTTCTTAAATTTATTTCCAGAAAAGTTATAAATTTCTATGTAAACTCCTATTTTCGTGTTTTTCTTTATACTTGCAGTAAAATTAGATACTTAAATGAAAATTTGCGATTGTTTCTTTATATATATTATTCTATTCTACAAAAACATATTCATAATTTTTCATATATTTTTATTAGAATTTTTGCGCAATTTAAATAAGAGATAAAAAACGACACCACAGTATGCCACATTAAAATGATAAAAATATGTATAAGAGTTAAAAAGTCATAATAGTTATTAACATTATAATTATTGAATTGTCGAGACATTTTAGTTTATTTTTTTTTCATTGCACTGAGATATAGACTTTGAATAGCCTTAATTTACATCAGTCGAATATCAATAGAGACCTCTTGATTGTTTATTTGACCAAAAGAAAATCAATTGCTAAAAAATTTAGTTAAATAAATTAGTTTTATTTCTTTTTGTATAAAAATCTATCGATCGAGATGAATGCAATAGTTTTCCAATTTATGAGTTATTACCCGGCGTGAAGGAAGGTAGTGGTGAAGAGCCTATAAAACTGGTCGGGCCATTCCGGATGCAGAAACGGTATCATCCCGCAGACGTCGTGTAGACACTCCACCTGTGAGCATAGGGACGCTTCCTCATGAAAGTAGCCGTGGACAAAATCGCAGTATTCCTTCGTGGTAATTCGACACATTCCATGAATCCCAATGCAGCATGGATGACCTATCACTTCACACACCATGTGCTCCGCCATTTTATCCTTATAACGACCGATGGGAAAGTTGCCGTTACCTCGCTGACTCCCGTTTTTGCTGTCAAAGTATTTTCATATTTTACTCAGCTGATTATGCTCGTCCGTCTAATTAAGAATTCAAGAGTTTGGGTCGGAAGAATTTCAAAGTCCATTAAACATTAAACACTATTATAATTCTTTTTTCTTAAATGATCATGTTGTTTCTCGTTAATCTTTATTATAGAAGACCTTTAATGGTTTGTTTTCGCAACATTACTTTACTTTCATTTCGTAGAACATCGTGCAAACGTACGTATACGTATGAAAGCTTTTACCTGAAGCGTTGGTTGAAAGGATTGGTTTTCCGACAGATGGGCCATTTTGTGATGTCGTCCGGCCATTCGTAGGGTGCGATACTCGCCGGAGCGTCGCAGAACTTCGGGTCCAGACCGCAAACTGATCCACTGATGCGACCACCAGGTCCACTATCGCCTGGTCCCCACTTCTTCCAGGTCGAGATTGTGTTCTACAAAATTCGAGTCGCGATTAATCGCACGAGCGATGATCCCTGAGAAATTGACCTGACCCCGTGAATTCACATGCGAAGCGTCATGCACAAATTGAGACTAAAGAGCCCGGAGAGAATGTTATGGCAATTTACCGTAACAGTAGACCTTAATCCTCGGACCTGTCGGCGCGCATGAAAGAAGAGTACGTTAATATAAAGCACAGCTATGAAGAGAACCAACACGAAATATGTGAGTTGGAAGTTGTAAGTTACAAGTGTACATAGTATAAAAGAGTCACGCGTAGAAGTGGGAAAAATCTTGTTTATACTGTCGGAACTTACCGAGCAGTCGGCTTTACTGGACTGAACACAGCCTGAATCGTCATTCCTGATGCAGCAAGCGGTGTCCCGTTCTCTTTCCCGCCAAACGTCGATCTCCTTCAGAATCTTAATGTCCCGACGCATACATGGCGCGAACTTAGCACCCAAGTGTATCAGATCCGCGGCCCTCGGACCTAGCCAGAAGTTCGCTGGTTCTTGGTAGTCGACTTGTTGCAACGACAGACTCGTCACGAGAACCTAGATGTAGTTAAAAACATTTCTCAGACATGTGTGCAATGTTTACTGAATATTTACTTGAGAAAATCTAGTTTAAGTTCTTTCCAAGAAAGTCTTCTTGTAAGAAAAAAAAATCTTCTTAGAAATAACTTTCCAGATAGCGTTAGAATATTCTATGAACGTTCTATGGATATTTTTTACGAAAATTTGTATACTCTATGAATTTATTAAAAATACTGTTCTATGTTCACAATATGTTTATGATATATATATGAAATGATTAATTATAAATATTCTATGAATGTGCATAGAATATTTACAAAATATAGATTAATCATTGATTTTGCTTTTACAATTATAAAGAAATAGTTTGAATATTTTATTTTTTCATATTTTACATTACTAACCTATAATAAATGCGTACCCTGTTTAAAAAATCCGATAATGTAATCCGATATAAATATATACACAAATTTCATTGAAACATTATATGACCTTATTTGAAGTTATCATTTCTATCAGAAATTCCATTTTCTCACGTTTTAGTTTATATAAAAAATTATCCATTTCTTTTGTTTTGTATTACATGCAACTTACTTTTAACGATTAAATATTATACTTAAGACAATTAAATATTTCTCTAAATGTACATGCTTTTCTATATAATTTTATTTCTTTTACCACAACACGATTCAGTTGTATAAATTCTTCTTATATAATTCTATCACAAATTTTTTAAGCAGAGTTACTACTCGGAATATTTGGGAAAATTTCAGTTACACAAATGCATTGCACATGCGCAAATAAACCTTACAAATATTACAAAAATGTTTTTTCCATTATAAATTTACGAATCTCTGTGTGACAATATTATACTTGATGAATTAAATTGATGAATTAAATTGATATTCACAGAATATACGATTCGAATATTCTGGAATTAAAAACATTTGTATTTTATACGAATATTCATAGAATATTTGGGTTTTGCTTTATTCTTTATTCTATTCTACTTTATTTTTTAGCCTTAGTCTATCTACCATAATATGTAATTTAGATCAAGTTTTAACGGTTTCCAATAATGATTGGGAATGATTGAGATTTAGCAATCCGTTCTGTCCACTCACCAATCCTGATCGATGGTTGAGATCCATTCCAACGGGACCGAATCCGTAACACGCCAACGATATTATGAGAATCAACACTTGCACGGTGGTGATCCAGTACGTGAAATACGGCCGATGATCCTCGAAGTCGTCCAATTGCTTCTTTATGTCCGGCTTGCGCGCAACACTCTTCCGGAAAGATCGCCTGTGGCAACGTGGAAAAGCGAGAGGACTTTACTTTAATAATTCTTTCCAAATCCGCTTTGACTTCTTTAATACGATTCGTTCGCTATGTACATCTTTTCTTGATCTCTCGTTGTTGTACATAGAATATATATACAAACATAGTACTAATTTAATTTCAAATCTCGTAATATAAACAAGTAAAATGTGCATGGGCGTGCGTATATATGTGTATGTAAGAAATGTGATAGTACCCGAAGAAGCGACCGACAATGCCCATCCCGTACTGTCGCCGATTACTGTTGTCGAAGACACGATCAATCGTGCTTGGGGAGATCCTCGTGGCACCGGCTAACTCCCTCCTGAGAGTCACCCCTTCGTCGTGCGGCACTCGCGTACCTTCTGCCGGGGGTGCATCGTACTTCGACCTGCTCCAACTTGTCTTTCTGTAATCTCTTTCTTGTTGTACATATTTGCGGGCTTGTCGGCCGGTAGCTAATCTATTTTGCAAATCGCCTGTACCACGAATTCGATCTCCCGATCTACCAGATCGCCAGACCATAATCCGTCAACTGCGCGAACGTTGCTGGCGTTTCGATCGCCACCAGACAAAGAGAATTCTCACGAATTAAGCTCGAAACTCTCTCGAGCGAAGAAGATAAATAATAAAAGCTCGTCTTTCATTTAACGATCGTTTAATTAACTCTTCCATCTCCGCGGGAAATCTTCTTACTTCTACCTATGGGGACCATTATTGTTGGCTTACGAGCGGTATCCGAGTCACTTCCAGATCCATTAACATAAATTACAACGCCATTAATTACCGCTCATTAACTCGGTGGCACAGTGACGGATGCGTGACATAATTTTTAAGTATAATAATTAATTTTATAGTAACTACTGACAGCTTAACGCATTCTAACGTCGCGACATTTAATTTCCCGCCAAAGAGTTTAACTAAAGAAATCACGATGTCTCACCTGGAAGTATAATGGTCCCTCGTGATCTGACGGGGTCGTCTAACTTGTCCGTCAATCGTCGTCCTATCATCCTTCTGCTGCGCAAATCTACACATAGGAAGCACTTAATGTCTTGTTGTTCGAAGATTCTGACATCGAAAAATATTGACTCCCGATGGTTCCAATTTCCTTCTCTCCCTCCCTCCTCCCCTTTTTGTAATCTAATTCCCCAGTAAGCAAAAAACATAAAACCTACATCTTTAACGTTGATATGTATAATTTCTAATTTTTATTTAATTTTTATCGTTTTTTAATATTTTATAAATGTTTTATAAATATTGCTCAATATAACATTACTTCCCAAATATTTTTAGAATATTTTAAAAACATGAGTTATAAAATAAATATTTTATTAATGTTATAATACATTTATTAGAAGTAAATTTATTAGAAGTACAATATATCAGCAACTAACTTGTATATACATATACAAAAATTAATCAATTATGCACCAAACTCAATTGTAAGCAATGTTCAGTATGATATTTCCTAGATAGCATAACATATCCGGGGATCATATTCAGGAGGCTTTGGGTCATCCCTCAAAACATCCTGGACATGTCTAACATAATTCTAGAATGTGTTATTTTGTGCTATCTTGTGCTACTCAGGTTAGGATATAATGAACTCATCAGCGATATTTCATTTAAATCGAATGTTATACCTTTAGAAAATAATATTTATTTTTTCTCTCTGTCAAAATAATTTAAATAATATTTACATTTCAATAATTTATAAATATTTTGATAACGAAAATAATGAGCATAAAATTTCTGATTGATTTAAATTGTTTTATGTCTTGTATTTTTTAAATTAATTTATTGTTTATTCTAGTTATTTTAATGTTTGGTTAAAAATTTGAAAGCAATCGTCACTGGTTTATTAATATATATTTTAATAATATCAACTTTTGTTGCGTTATTTCAACATTTACCAGCAATATCCTATTAATGTCATTACAATGTTTTTTTAGTAATATAAAAATATATTATTAGTAAGATCTATATATATACATATGCACTATACAATATATTCTAGTTCTCGTGATATTATAAGTGATCTTGTGTGTATGAAGTTATACTGACAAATTTTCTAAACAATTTTTCTAAACAATTTACAATTAATTTTTTCTCATAAAAAATGTCGAGTGAGATCATTATTCATGGCAACTTCCCAAATCTCAATATATTTTTCTAACTAAAGCTCAAAGAAGAAAATTCTATTAAAATCTATTTGAAATTTTTACTGATAAAAATAATTTTGTTATCCATTTGATCGTTCAAATTTTAGTTTGTGAAAAATCCTATTCTTTTGATCGCTTGTATTTCAGAAACTATTGATGTCTTAACGTTTTTGCAGAAAGGAAATTAACATTAAATTTCTCAGAGAACCTGTAAATAAATAAATAAATAACACTAAATTGCTTAGAGAACCGATATAAATAAAATTCGTGAGAACTGAAACACTCTGTACACAAATTGTCTCAGAACAATCTACGAAGCTTTCGTGAGAACGTAGAGCGGCTTAAAATAAATATAAAAGTCCTATACCGTGTTGCGATATTAATAACCGAAAAATTAATTACGAAAGATCAAGGAAAAATGTGTGCTAAATGGTAGAGGACGGACCGCTCGAGTCACAGTGCAGCCCAGTAATATAGCGCACGGCGATGTCGCGCGTGGCGATTGGAAGACAACGCACCACTGCCTATACTTATATTGCTGTGCTCCTACATCTCGCCTCGGCGCGGTGCGGCAATATAGGCCTTGTGGCATACTATATTACTGAGCTGCACTGTAACTAGAGACTCTATAAGAAGAGACAGGATATCGTATGTTAACGTTTTGATTGACTGCGTCATGGGTCCTTGCTTCCAGTTAGGATACCTTTTTTATACTGGTACAGTACTGATTTTCGATACTGTGACAGTACTATTTTCCGATACTGGCCCTTTTCTATCATCCCAGTATCACACTAATACTAAACCCGTACCAGTATCTAGTACTATGTAACGTTTACCATAAATCAGTACTGGGCCACTTTGATACTAATAGTAAATTCCTACTTGGGCAGTCGTCTGTTCTTTTCAGCTGCACTAACTACACTGGCTGCACTGCTGAACTTGTGCAATAAGTTTAAGTGAGGTAAGTATACTTCCGGTTTGGATATGGCGAACCTAGTATTTACAGGCGACGGTGTCCTTTCTCATCTTATAAGGTTTCTAGCTATGACTCGAGCGGTCCGTCCTCTACCATTCAGCATACGTTTTTCTTTAACTTTTGGTAATTAATTTCTCGGTTACTATTACAAATATCGCAAAACGGTATAGGACTTTTATATTTATTTTATCCAGCTCTGTTCTCACAAGAGCTTCGTTGTTCTGAGACACTTTGTTTATATTCGTGTTTGTTCAGAATAATAAAATCAAGAATAACTTATATAAAAAAAACTATAATATTTTCCCTTTGCACACACATTTACTCGAGTTGAATAAGCCACATAAAAAAAAAACACAAAAGTTTACTGTCGCAATACTTACCCGACCAATTCCTCGGAACTAATTCCCTCGCGATCCTGCACGGTGTCAAGAATGTCCACGACCTTGGCTCCGACTTCTTCATCCTTGACCAATCCGCTTGAGGCCTGATCGGCCTGCGTCTGCGACTGCTGAGACGGAAGAGGCGGCGGGGGTGGTGGTGGTCTCTCGAAGAAGGACTCCTCCTCGTCTTGGCCGCTGCTGGGATAAGACACCCCTTCCGACCTCGACAGATACGCAATCACGCTCGGCGGAAAGCTGCGCGATTCTGAGCGCGATTGCGAGCGTTCGCGAGGACGTTGCTTCGTCAGCGACTGAAAGCAAAAGACGCGTAACTTGATTCAACTTCAATTTAACGGCGTGATCGGAGGAAGCGCGAGTAACGATCACCGGATGATACTTGGCGTAGGAATATCAATTTCCTCACGGTGTCGTTATCAGTCTCGATGAACGGAGCAGCGACGAAACTTCTCTTGCACAGAGAGCAGTTACGAAGTTTGTCGCATATACAAGGAAGAGTAGGAGTGATAGCGCTGATATACACATCTCAAGAAAACTGAATTAAAGATTTAAAGCTTCATATTTTCTTGTTTCTTTTTCATATTTCTTCCATTTTACTCGGTCATTACACAGAACCGAAAGTCTGAAAGGACACCACACACCGTCTTCTTTCCTCTTAGTGAAGATTAAGTAATTAGATAGCTCGATGTACGTAAATTTCCAGCCACTTTACTAATGCAAATGTAAAAATTGTATTTCTTATGAATGATTAGCATTTATACTTATATAAAACGATGAAATAGAAACACGAAAGAAATATGCAAATAAAATTATCTCAAAATTAACCCTTAAAAAGATATGATATAAAATTTAATATGAAAATAAAAATATATTATTTGATAAATTTAATTAAAGTGTGACTTATGACAAATTTGTTTCTACATATTTGTTTATATATATTTGTTCCTACAATAAAACAAAAAATTACATTAATGTATAATATAAATTTAATAGTTAATTTTAGTATATAGTATATTTGCTTTATACAGGGTATCTGACGATAATATATATATACAGAGTGTCTCGCGTAAGACGTACGAAAAGAAAAATATAAGTAGAACAGATAAAAGTGAACAAAAATTATATGTCATTTTTCAAATAACTACGTAAAATTTCGAGATATTAATTAAAATAGTTGGGCATATCAGAGCGCGGCGACACGGCAGGCGGGACATACGGCTCGCCGCAGCCGGTGAAGAAAATGGACGATTGCTCGCGGACCTATCTTATAGGCTAGAGAGGTGGGTCGTTTGGCATACTGAAATGACTAGCTCCGTGTGTGCATCCGTGTATGTGTGCGTTCTTCCATTTTCTTCGCCGGCCGCGGCGAGCTGTATGTCCCGCTTGCCGCGTCGCCGCGTTCTGATATGCCCAACTATTTTAATTAATATCTCCAAATTTTACATGGTTGTTTGAAAAATGACTTACACAATTTTTGTTCACTTTTATGTGTTCTACTTATATTTTTCTTTTCGTACGTTTTACGCGGGACACCCTGTATATATATATATATATATATATATATATATATATATATATA